ATGGCTCCAGCACACATTGTGACACAATAGGCGTGCCTGGTGCAATGTTTGTGTATTCAATTCCAAGGTTTTGTTGAAATTGAAGGTATTTCTTTCTTGCAGCTACTGACTGGCTGACTTTCAATCTAGTTTGCACGTGCTGTATTCTACAAAGCACTTCTGCGAGTCTTAGACGCTGCTCAGTGGAACTCTTTTTCTCAGGCGATGCCACGTTGTTTTAGGCCCTGAGCTTTGCGGTAAACTTCATCACGGGGCACAGCCGTCGCATTGCGACAGGCAAGCCGCTCACCAGTTCGTCAAGCTGAACATGTTCTTCCAGCCATGACAAGGCTGGAACCGGTTGAGGTGTGAGATCCGTGCACAGGGAAACCAAAAACTGACATGCCCTGTCGGTAGATTCCGTGGGGACCTTTTGCAATATGATGCTGGCAAGACTTAGATATGCCTGCTTCTTGCCAGCCTTCACTGGATTCAATGGCCTTGGAGTTGATGGAATGGGGCCAAGCAGTTGTAGGTATCGAAATGGGAATGCGAGCAGCGGCTCCTACCAGGGACAGGGTCATGAGCCATGAGATGTTGCATGAGCCATGAGATGTGCTTTACAAGATCTTGTTGTCCAGTCCTGGCCCAGATGATCATCAGATGCATGACGTTTCAGCATGAGCACAATGTCTTCTGGGTGGTCTGGAAGCGTGGCGCCCCTTCCAGTTGCAACCAGTGTAAAGTTCCGCGGCAAGTCTGCACAGGGCGACGGGGTAGGACACAGTTTGTTTCTCAACCTCAATCTTAACAGGGACCATATCCAACAAGAAAGATGTATTCTGGGGTGGATCGACTGGACTGGGCTGTAAAGACTAAGCAGGCCTCTTCGTCGCATCATGATGAAAGCGTGCCATGCTGATTCATCTCCTGATTTCAGTCCTCCTGCATAGGTCACCGGAGCTTGATTCAGCCTGAGCTGAGTGGAGATTTTCTTGGGGAATGGATTGGTTGAGATCTTGTGGCTGTGACATGTTCCATCATTTTACATCATTTTACTACTTTTCAAACTTCCTAATATGGCAAGACACCATGTTTTCCAGTCACGTACCCCTGAAACAAACTCCACTTTGATCTTGGCCCGATTTCCAATCCAGTCTCTGATGCCGATGCGATGCAATAGACTGTCGATCTTCCTTGGCCAGATTTGATTCCAAGGATCTATCCGGTTTGTAGGGTTCACCAGCTGGGGTTAGGCAGCACTATTGTTACATGACTCATTCTTGTGACAAATGGCTGAGCCACATCCTGCCCATCTGACAGTATGTCACAGTACCGCATGGCTGTTGCCAGGAGGCCGAATATTTGATCTTAGCAACAGCAGTCTCATGGCAACAGGTATGAACCAAGTTGTTTGTACCAAACGACATGGATACAGCAAAACCCAAATTGCAGTCACAGGGCCTAGTGGCCCGTGTGTGTGCCCCACGGCGCTGAACAATAATGCAGCGAGGCGATATTTGCGTCGCAGGATGAGATATGCCAGGAATTTGAGCAATTGTTGGTTCTTTGACTCACGAACGCAATTGTCAGCCTAGCGTCAGCAGCAAATAGCAGCAGAGTTAGTAGAATGTCTTCTAAGTTTGCCAATCCAATTCAATCAAGATACCCATACGATCAACTGATCAGGGGGTTCAATCTCTTGGGCGCGACATTCAGCCACTGCAAACTCGATTGCCCGTGCTCCGCTCTCTACGATCAGGCTTGAATCTTGGGAGCATCGTGGGTCAACCACGAAGACATACAATACAATGGAATGCACCCACACTGCGTGCACCTTGCACCGTGGTTTCTGGATCATAGCTGTAGATTTGGTCATTCTGCGCAGTCTTGGAATGGCCCATTTAGCCTGATCCATTCCATCCTAAGCTCAACCCAGGCCCGGTTTCACCCAACTGGACACAGACTTGGAAGGCAAGGAGCCCAAAAGATGCACAGTGGGTTGCCCTGGCACTCGATGGGAGACTGTGCCTGGGAGAGACTGATTAGGACATGGACCCATCGGACCTAGTCGCCTAGTGGTGTTTATTCACAGACCTCATGTAGTATGTATTTGAGCCAGCTAGGTTGCTTGGCAGAATTCTTCAAGCTGCCGGTCACGTCCCACTTGATCAATGTGTGCTTTGTACTCTTTAGAGATTCTAAAAATCTCTGTCATGTCCTTGGGTAGATATTGAAAGAAGTGATCATATCCTCATGGACAACTTGCAAAATGCAAAATGTCTTCCAACACTCCTTCAAGCTGAAACTCTCTGCAAGATCTATACTGATCCTTGAAGTCGCAACACGTGTCGCAGGCCCCGTGTGTTGTCGGGGGCACGAATTTCAGGATTTGGGCCCAACGTTGTTGGTAAACGCGCCAAAAGTGCACATACCTTTGCATAGAGAGTCAAGACAAAGGCACATGAGATGGGGAAAACTTGGTCAATTAGTAGCTGCTGCCATAAGTTGAATACTTTGATTGCAGCTTAAGAACGATACTCTTTTTGGATCACCTTGGGTCATTTGGTGCCAGAGCATTCTCAAATTGCCTGGCGGCAACCATCTGGTGGGGAGCTCATCAAACTTTGTCCAGAAGTTGCACTCGATGTACCTTGTCGGATAGACTCGGAGCTGAAAGATCTGACAGGGCTGAACTCAATTCCAACAACAATCAATAACAGCAGCTGTAACGCTGAGATGCTGGGAAAAGTAGCTCTGAAGGCCTAATATGTGCAGGCGGAGCTCTTCATCAGATTCAAGAGTCTCCTCAGGGATGTCCACTTCATCGTTCACGGAATTGTTGCTAGAGATGCTTCCTTCACCTCATCTCGGGATTTTGTAGTGATTGAAAGAAACCAACGTGGTGATGTCATGTGATGTCAATCCATGAGCAAGTCTAAGTTCAATGATTAGGCAAGAATCTGTCGGAGTCTTGACAAGGTTCTCCAAGAATCACTGTCAATTTTTTGCCATGTTTGACACTAGGTCGAGCTCCACGCTGAAACCTAAGCATGCACCCATGACACTGCACCACCAATAATTGATGAACAAACAAGCCCTCAGTACAAGACTAGAAGCTTGTTGGGAAGCATCCCTGCAGACTTGATATATTGGCCAAGCAAAAACTGATGGATTTGTTTGGCTTTGATTGGACATCTTCTCATCGCCTTTGCTGGAGCCCGCTGTCACTGGGAAACCCGGGGAAACCCATGAAGGGGTTCACAAAAACATCCTAAAACCAAATGTTTCATATTTGGTTGTGTAAGCTCAGTACAAGTCACTCTTCCCCAAGTAGACAATCTACGATCGCCTCTTCCTTGCTCTACCCGTTGTAACCTTGAGTTCCCTATACCAAGTACCGCAACGCAGCACTTGGGTGAAAGTTGTTCCCCCAAAAGGTACCATGCTCGCCGCTTTCCCTTGCAAGCTCGCACCACCTGCTCGACCTGATTTAAAAAACAGACAGTCATATTCTGAATTATAGTTGTCTCAATATCTTGCACTCCTCTATGCTCACGTCTATCAAAGGCTCCGACGTATTGATCTTGCACCCCTTTGGTAAATTTCCAGAAGATGACCAAGAACTCTAGAAGCCTGTTGACAAGGTGTTTGAGCTGTTGGTAGCAGGTTTGCCTATGGCATCTGCACTTGCGAGAGATCAGATCTTGGATTCTGGATCTGCTAGCTCCAGTCGCCCCATGCCTTTGTTGGCACACGATGTATCATTCCAATCACACAATGTTTAGACTCCAAGCCCCAGTAAGTCTCAACGTGACAACTGACAAGTAAAGAATCATTGAACCTAGCTGCTTCATCCGGTCCACACTCTTGGCTAACATGCGCCGTTTCCGATTGTTGTAGTTCGGCCGTCTCCTTTGCTTACCATCCTGGTCCTGGGTCCTCTTGCCAGCATCTCTCTGAGCAAGGCTGAGCATCAGGTTCTGTCTCTGAAATTCTAGTAAGCCCTCCCATGTAAAGACAACTCTTGAGACCTCAACATTCTCACCACCTTCTTTCAATTTTTCTTCTTCTCTTCCAACATTCTCCAAGAAACGTTTTCTTGTCTGCGGCTTCGTGGACTCATCCTCATCCAATTCCCGACCATAAAGCCGTCTCAGAAACCTTATTTCCAAAGAAAAGTAAGGATTGATATGGGAAGTAGGACAGCGCATCAAGCGTTCCAATTCTTGCATACAGCAAACTATTCACCCATTCACAAACAAGATTCTTGCCAGCAAGTGGCGATTTTCTAGCTTCTGACATTGCCACCAAAGGCTTCTTTGAAGCTAGTGGCTGCAGGTCACTAGACCCCAATGGATAACCATGACACCCAAATGTCATGAAACGAGACCCGAATACAACGAAACCTACTTATATTATGTGCTACAAAAAGTTGCCGCAAGATGCGGTCACACATCGCTTGAGTCCCTGACAACAACGGCGGCCAAAGGCCAGAGCTCTCAGAAGCTGCTTCCCGCACTGCATTTGCACAAAGTTGCCAGTCCTGAGATGTCCTGAGACTGTGACGCACTTGGGAAACTTTCACCACGCTTTTCGACGACAGTTGCACACTTTCGCAACAACAGCAGCTAGTTGCTTGGTACACATTTTCGGTGACGGCAAATTACACACTTTGGCAGCTCCCACCGTGCTTCTCGGCGACAGTTACACACTTTTGCCACTTCCAGCTTGCTGCTTTTTGCCGCAGTTACACACTGTGGCAACTTCCAGCATGTTGGCAGTTCGACGCGCGCGTTCTCCGCAAAGTGTTTACCAAGGACAACAAGTCCTATATATAGGATCATGGATGATGGATGATGGATGATGGATGATGGATGATGGTGGTGATGATGATGATGATGATGACATGATGTTGGCAGCCATTCTTTCTGGAGAACCCTTCGCAGATCTTCCCAGGTGCTTTCGGAAAAAGAAAAACATATGCAAAACTGCGTATCTTGAGATGATCGCCCAGAAGCTGATCTTGTCGAAGACCTCTTCCTGATCCACCACCAAGGTCAAAATCACCTCGGTTCCTTCTGCGGCTTCGCCCCGGGGCCGAAGAAGCTTCGCGCTGTCGGCGTAGGCGTCGAGCGCATCGATGAGGCGAAGATCGCGGTTAAGGCGTAGGGAACGCAGGGTCTCAGGTGCATAGACCGCCTGGGCGGGTTTCCGGTTGATGGGTGGGAGGGAGTGTGGAACTCCCTAAGAATCGCCGTCAAACACAGGTTTTGAGGGCCCGGACCCCTGCCATGGAGGGTCCGTCCCCTGCCATGATGCCATGGAGAGTGCGCCAATTTTTTTGTTTTTTTTTTTTCCTCGCGCCTTTTTCCGCAGCTGGGTCAGGGCAGCGAGCGCAAAGGGAGGAGGCTGGGCCCAGGAGGGTCCGGCAAGGCCAGGACGACAGGAGATATGCGGCTTCGAGATTGCCAAAGGTAGTAAAATGGGGAGGGGTTCGCTGGGAGATGGGAAAAGAACACGAACAAAACGTCAATGTAGAGGGATTCACTGGTATTTGCTGAGAAGCTGTGAATGATGTGTTCTCGGAGGTGGCATATCAGGCTCATTACCCCCTTGCAGGGACAATTTTCAACCTAGACGTCCTCATCAAAGCTGACTGCAGCTTCACCAAAAAACCTGGACACCCTGGTTGGTTTCTGCAAGCAGGGCTCAAGAATGTATGGGCCAGTCTGCTACCAACATCTTGTTCGACAGTCTTAGTGACTTACTGTGTATTTGATGATGAACACGGGATGTATATACCCGGTCTTGGAAAACCCCCCAATCTCTGTACTGGCCCAACCTTCCGGGGGTGTCCACGCGGATTCATCCGCAACACCTGAAAGACTTGAAGAGGTCGGACGGCCCCACCTGCTCGTTCTGGCCGCCAAGAGGCTCGATGCAGCAGCATGGCTGCTTGGGACCACTTGCACAGGAGTTCTGCAACGATGGATGTCTTCTTCAGTTGCTCGGGTGTGTAATCCGGAGCCATTGCATCGATAATCTCCTGTCGAAGTGACAGGAGTTCCGGCTGAATGGATGGACATTTCGTGATCGGGGAGATCAAAGTGAACAAACAAATCATGCAGGGGATCAACAAACCATATAGTTGACCCACCTGCGCCTTCTGCACAGCAGCCATTGGAAGGCTCTGGACCTCTTGCGGGAAGTCATTGAGTGCTTCCAGGAAATTGCACATGTCGCTCATCATCTTCTGACAGGCTGTCCAGTTGGCAATCTTCCTGAGTCTGTCGCTCTCAACTCGGAAGATCAGCTCGAAAAGCCGCCCAAGACCAGCGCCGGGAGAACTCACGGGGGGCTGGGCATTGCCCAGCGATGTGTTTTTGAATGTATGACTCTGGAATGTTGAGATGCAAACATGGTCCAAGCTTGAATCTTGAGATGAGATGTGACCTCCAACTTTGATGGGTGTCAGCACCCTTTACGATGTTGCACAAAAATATTTGTCAAACACTGGTTTTTCACTATAGGAAACATTTGACATCGTGGATGTTGATCAGAAGAAGGGAAGTGCTTTGAATCGGCGCAGCAGTGCCTACTGCTGTGTCAGTCTGGCAGTCTAAAAGAATGACCCCAAGTCCCAAGTTAAGACTAGAAATCCTTGATCATCCCTGCTATATCGACTTGGAATCACTCCAAAAGACTATAGAATCACCCCAAACATCCCCAAACTGATTTGACATGCACACCTACCTTCAGCAAGACTCCCCACCAAAAGAACACATGGACCGTCCCCATCCCCGCATTCTGACCGTCCCAGCCACCTACCTTCAGCACCGGCATGACCGTCCCGCAACGTCGTGTCCGTTCCACCGTTCGCTGTTTTTGGGCGCGACCCTTCTTCCACTGACACCATCTAACATCCCATACATCTCATCAAACATCTCATCAAACATCTCATCACCCTTGGGTCACCCCATGCCTCAAAGGTTCGGTGACTTCTTGGTATTTCATGGCAGGGCGGTCTATCTCTTGAACTCATCCACCCACTCACCGACCCTCCGAGACCCTCCGACACGCTCCCACGCTCCTGCCTGAAAGCACGGACCGGGCGGCTGCTCCGTGGGCGTGAGTCTCATCCGTGGACTGTGGGAGAGCAAATGCATCACCACTTGAAGGACCTTCAGTACTTTCTCCGGAGGCTTGGACAAGGCCTCCATGCACGGCGATTTGGGGGGCTTTTGCTAGGCCAAGGCGACCAGCAGGCAGGTCTGTGTAAAATTCAGACACGCTGGGAGGCTGGGAAACCACTATAGACTTGAAATTGTCTCTATGCTAGAGGAAGAACCTGATTCAAACACTAGCTCGGGCAGCCCTTCATGTTCTGGAAACGGTCATGGACATGGCTGACGTGTGCGATCTGATGTATCCAGCGCTGACTCATCCAATCAAATCATGGCACTGAGGCCCTGGAGACATCCGTGGCCTCCGGGATTTGTGGCCATCCGCGGCCTCTTGGAGCGACAGTAAGGATATTGTGCCGGCCATCACTTCCAAATACTCGCTCTGTCAAGCAGCAACTTCTAGGACCCACAAGGGGTGGTTAATGGACACCCCTTAACCTCTAAGGGGCTATCAATAGACACCCCTTAGGGTGTCCTGGTTGGGGATCCATACTGAGCTTGTCAGATTTGGGGTTTTTGCCCGACCTCCACCGTTCGGCCTTGAGGTCCTGGATGTGGACCTTCGTCAGTCCCTGCTGCGCGCTCCTCGCGCGCTCCGCGAAGCCGGAGGCCATATGCCTGGCCACCGGCAGCGGGATGTCATGGAGCCACAGCTGCTGAGCGAGCTCCGGCACCTCGCCATGGAATGCCGTGAGAAGGTTTTGGGGGACCAGACATGCCCCTACCAGGCCCTACCAGGACCTACCCCACACATCCCCACACTAGGCTTCCAAACAGGGCACCCCTTGCTTCGATGGTGGTGTGGAGTGGGATGGAGTGGGGAGGTGCTTTGGAACACGGAGCGTCCGACATTGGAAGCGCGCACCAGCAAGACATCCAACGGATTCATGCCTATGGAGCCTTGAACACCTACCAAACTCAAGTCAAGTCTACTAATCTATAATCGTTTTTATTTGTTAATCGACAATCAAAAAACTAAATCCGAAACCATGGAGCCAGTGTCACAAAGGGCACTGAAAGGATTTCAACGTGTATTGAATAAAAACATCAAATGTGGCGCCAAAAAGTTGAGAGTTTGCATCGTTTTGTTGATCATGTGCGTTGTATTGTTTGTTGTTGCTTCAGGTGGTTCACACAATGGCGTTGTGTTTGTAACTATTTTGTCGTTTGTGTTGTGTTTCTAGCCGGTTTGCGGTATGTTTCTAAATATTGTGTTGTAGTCTTAAGCGTTTCCGTTTGAGCTTGGGTGTCTCCAGCTCATTTCCGACAAGGTTTCCACATAATGAAAGCAGTCCTTGATCTTTTTGTTTTTTATCGTTTTAGCCAAACACCGCCCCCCCCCAAAAAAAATGCCATGGTGGCGTCTCAAAACTGACTGATTATGCACTGACCCGAACTGGTGATCGTGACTGGGGTGGAAACGGTGGATCTGGCCCGCGTCTGCTTCAGACGTCGGGCCAAGGAAGCGGGCACATAGTGCCTTCCACTATTACGCTTCATCCACGAAAAGGGCACATCCACTCAACCTCAGATCCAACCTCCACTCTTCAACCACCGCCCCATCAAGATCGCCAACTTCCCCATCATCAACCTCTGAAAAACAAAGAAACACCATGAAACATGCCGCATGCCCTCCGTATACCGGCCTCCTGCCGGCATACGAAGGAGGTCGGTAGACCCGCACGGAGAACAGCGAGAACAGGGCGCCTTCAGTTCCTCCACAATGCGCCGCGGCAGTTCCTTTGCCCCAGCGGCTCGCTGCTCGGCATCGCGCCACGTAAAGGGCCCCAGGGAGCTTCCGGAGAGGCAATGCACCGCGACGGTGAGCGGCGTTTCCGGCGCTGCGGCTGCGAACGTGCTCATGGCGGTGATTTGGAGGGTCTGCCAGAAGCAGTTGGGGAGGGGGTGGAAGTGTAGAAAGTATTTAGGCAAGTGAGGTGTTTGCGGTTGCATGGTGAGTGAGTGGTTTCGGTAGGCTTGGGTGGGTGGAGTTGGTTCAGGTTGGGACAGGATGGTCTTGAGTCGCACTACTTGGTCAATTTCATGAGCAGCGGGCCATGCGAAGATGGAAGTCCGGCAGCGGCCGATCAAGGCGTCCAACGGCATCAAAGCCCTCTCGACACAGGACCGAAAAGAGGCGTCGTTCTCCGAAGTGCCATATGTGCCATGATATGTATACTGCCCCCACCTTTTGTTCCTCGTTCGCGGAAGGAGAAAAGAACACAGAAATAAAGGACATCACAGGCGGCCCAGCGGCTTCTTGATCATGCCGTTCATGGAGTCCTTGCCACTCACTTGCGCCAGTTTCTTGGGATCTTTCGCAAAACTCGGCCGCCGCGCGAACGGGAACGCGAGGCTAGGCTAGGAGACCAAGGACCCAGAAGGGCGGGCGGATGCTTTTTGAGGCTTGGCCTCTTTGAAAGCGCCTGGACCCTCCAAAGTACTCTAGAAAATAGGACATGGCCCTGTAAAAACGGGTACTTGTACCCATTTTCTGAGGTACTTTGAGGCTCCAGGTGCTTGCAAAACTGCAGGCCCTTGATGGTCAACAAACACTCCAACAGGCCGGTGGCCGGCGAACATCGTGGGTCTTAGAAGGAAACCGTGCCACCCAAGAGCTTGGACGGATCTGACCAGTGTTTTCAACAGGCAAAGCTGCTTCTGTGGCAACCAAATCGCCATGCAGACCTCTTGTTGAAACAACTCAAATTAACGAAATGCTCTTAGTCTCTCCTCTGTGTTCAACGTACCTCAAGTGAAAATGAAGTCGTTTGAATAAACAAACACGCGTGTCCTCGACACCCCGAGGAGTGGTTCCACGTTGGCATCCTCTTGAGGACACGCAACATGGCCACCTCTCCATGGGTTTTGGCCCAAGGCGCTTGTGATAGATCCAGGTTCTGTGGGACATCACATGCGCGCGGAAGAGATAATGATCCTGCCAGGGTGGATACACTTCCTGCTCGCAAGTACAAGTGCTTGACCTAAAGTGGGTGGAACCACTAGCATACCAAGTCAAAATGAAGAGACCCTCCACAAACATCTGTATTTATCTGCTTTCAAGTGTTGCACTGCTTTCGCCTGATCAACTGCCTGGAGGTGAAGCCAGAAAGAATGGCTGAGGCTGAACCATTGACCATCTTGGTCCTATACGTACAGCATCGTACAGCAAGGGAAAAGCCATCCCCAAAACGCGTGGTTGCCAAGAGTCCATATATAAGTATCTACAAATAGCTACAAATGAACAACGGCCAGCAGCCCTCATCTCTGTCCTCGAAGAGGTCATCTGGGCTGCCGATGAGGCGACGACGGCCAAAGAGATCAACCAGAATGAAGCCGGGCATGTACCTCGCATCTGGAAAAGAGTCGTTCTTGCGGGGACTGTTTAAAGACTGGTTCTTGTCCACTCACATTGGGTTGAATAATGGGTTGCCAGGATTTGTTTTGGGTGTGAGCACTCGAAAAGAAAGACCGCTTGAAGCCCTTAGAGCCTGTGGTGCGACAAAGCGGGTTTCCAGGGGTTCGTGAAAGGGCACGGGCACTTGGGGACGGTCATAATGTCTATACATGTCAATACCTATTTGGTTGACCTGAAGAAACACAAAGGAACTGAATGCATGATGCTTGACATATCAGTTTTTTGGAATAGTGTCATCACAGGGCCGACACACAGCATTCTCATGGCATTCTGTCACCTACTTTGTGGGTCTCCTTGGAGCTTCGCATCTTTGTTGTGGTGGTTGTTGGTGACCTACTGGGACCTACTGGGGATGCCAAACTTATCATTGCCTGTGCTACTAGTGAACCCCTAGAGATTCTGATCTGATAAGTTCCCCCCAAGAAAACAAACAAGAGTCGAGGTGTGAAAGTGTCATATGTCAACACTCCACTCGCTTGTCTTGCACCCCAGCCAAAACAGAAAAACAAACTATCTATAACTATCGCTATGTTGGAAACACCCTCAAAAAGTCTCAAAATCAAAGAGGCAAAGAGGAGCGAGGAGGCCTGTTTCGGCATCGCCACCGGTGCGGTGTCGGCATCGCCACCTGTCTTCTTTCATCACCACCTTCCCCGTGACGGAGTTCCTTCGAGTGCCTAGGAGCGAAGCGCGACGAAGCGGAGTTGAGTTCCATCCGACGGGGCCGTGGATGTGACACGGGCACCGTTCGGAAGTCTGCACCGTGACATGTTCTGACTGCTGGGTAGGTTTGAACCAAAAAACATAAGGAAAAAGGACATGATTGGCTGGCTGCAGAGGTCTATCTAGACCACATAGTAGGTGTTCTTTCTTTTGTGTTGTCTTCTCTTTTTGGGTGAGGCGGGTGTTATTTGTTTTACCATTTCTAATTGTGTGTGTTCCATGCATAATATGTCAAGAAAAACAAGGAGGAAGCGGTTACACAATGTTACACAAGAAGAGAAAGACTTGGATGTCTTTTGCAGATTCACGTCTGTTCTTCGCATGTCTTCGTCACAAAAAAATCTCTAGACTCCAGTCCTACGGGTCAACTGGCGAGAACCTCCGCCAACTTGCAGCGTCGACGAGGTGTACACACATACACGTCGTGTTCGTGCAACGCCCATGGAAGACGGCCTTTTCTGGTTGCAAAAGCGGGCCTTCCCATGTGGGAAGCCTAGTTGCTTTGTTGCAAATCACCCCAAATCCGTCCTCCACCGCCATTGCTTCGCTCCTAAGTTCCTTAAACACACTCTCCCTCCCCATCTTGAAGAAAGGTCGCCACGCAAACAATAAGGAACTCCGAGCTCAGTCGCGCTCAAACCACGCCAACGGAGTCGATCCACCCTCTTCCTCGCGTTTCGCCAGGTATTCTAGCGCTCTTCCGGAATGCGCGTACGGGGACTTGCGGTCAGCTCGCGGTTCTTGTGGCAAGTGGCAGTTGAAGAAGTGGCTCAAGGTCAAGGAGGTGCCAACGCGACGGAGCTTCACCTGCACCGGTCCCAACGTGAAGCTCGCTAAGGCGAAGGCGAAGGCGGGCGAACGCGGGCGCGAAGGCGTATGCGGGCTCTGTGATCGATGGGCAGGTTCTGATCTCAGTCGACTCGGCATGGGATGTCAACAACTCACCCCCAGGGGGTCGACTCTTCCACTCTGACCGGATGTCTCGGGGCGATGCCGCAGACCGATGCCTCGGATGATGTAGCACCGCCAAAACCGGGTCGAGCTGTTGAGCTGGTCACGTCCCAAGGGCCCAGCGCCATGAAGCTGAGTCATTACCTGAGTCACTACGAACATTTAAAAGGATGTGGTCGATGGTGACTAAGTCACTAGTGGTGGAGATGTTCAACAGACCGGAATGATCCAAGTTCAGCCCCTATCCGCCATGGACCTACGGTGGCTGGAAGGGGTATGTAGGTGACAGGTGGTTTGAAGGGTTGAATATTTCGTTGGTCTATCCTTACTACCAGTAACTGTGGATGATGATGGCTCAGTTGCAGGATGTTGCAGGCCTTGTTCAAAAATGGTGACAAATCGATGATCCTTAGTTAACTGACCGTTACACAAAATGGGCCCAAATGTGGTCCATCTACGATTTACATTCCTTCCAGCACCACGGAAAGAGTGTCCATTAGGGCGCCCCGAAAAGAATCCCGAAAAGAGGTCTTTCGGGGTGTCCAACCACCCCCCACTGGGGGTCGTTGATGTCCGTTCTTTGGGATCCTTCTGCCATCGGAATCCACTCTCCCATCGGTCGCCTTGTCAATGCTAATCGCCTCGAAATCCAGCTCATCTTCGTCCGACTCCTAGGGGCCACCGTGGCGCCCACGTCGTGGCTGTGATCTACCAGTTGGTGACCGTCAGCAAGCTTCATTCCAATTGAAGTAAAGGGTGATCGAAACAAACAAACACACACCACCCTGTTCTATCTACTGGTTGAGAGTAGATGGCACAACTGTTCAAGTTTGGTGATTTACTAGTGGATACCCATCCAAAAGACATCTTGGTGTCTGTGCCGTCTACTGAAACCAACGTAATCATGGGTCGACAAACTCTCCACGGGCGTGGAGGGCTCAGCCAAGACAGCCTTAGATAGGCCTTAGTGGCCCGTACTATAGTACGGATTGCTGACATCACAACAGGATGTGCGGGGATAAATAGTATATCGATCTGATATTTGCTTGCAAGAACCACCCGAAGGTTCGCTACTGACAACTTCAAAAAACAGCTCACCGCTCGCGGCCCCGTGAAACACCCTTCCCTTCTCCGGCACTCCGACCTTTCTCCATTTCCCACCGTCTTCTGGGTCCGGAGGGCGGAGAGACAATCCAAAGGAGCCATGGCAGGTCCTGCTGCTCGGCCAAAATCAATCTCCTTCGTTCGCCGTTCGGCGCGAAAGCGTTTAACGGCGGTGAAAAGGACACCGATCTCTCTCGGTTCCGAAGCCGATACCCGAGCCGATACCAAGTACCTCAGAAAATGGGTATACAGTCGCACCCGTTTTAAGGGCCCGGGTCCAGGTATTAAGCACACAACTGTAGATTAGATGGCCTAAGAGCCCACCAACGCGGAGCGGATGGCAGTGGTCCGACACATGGGCTGTCTTCCACCAACAGAAGGGCTGTAGCTTCATGTCCCAATGCCAACAGAAGCTTCCTCATCTTTGAAGAGATCCTCGAGGTTGTCATAGCCTGGCCGAGACGCAGAACCAACGGTCCGTAAGTAGACCGGGCGTGGAAGGCTAAGATTAAACCCGTTCACCCTCTTCTTCATCCTGAAACTTCATATGATAGGAGGGAGAGGGGCAGCGGGGACCATGGCCAGGGGAGGTTTCTTTAAAGTCATCTGATCAACTCTTCCATAGCTCTCTTGTGCAGTTCTTCCATGTTTGGTGTTTCTCTTGGTCCTGCGGAAGACAGGGGTCTTCATTCCGATCACGTCGCCCCACTCACCTGCAGTCTTGGCCGTCCTTTGTGACGGCTTGGTGCTCGCAAAGTCATCCGAGTCCTTGGAGGAGAGGAGAACTGCAGGAAGGGAAAGGGAGGAGATAGATGGGTTTTGGATCTGGAATCCCTAAGATTTGGATCTGGAATTCCTAAGAGTCTGATCAACATGATGAATCCCATTGGGATTCGCTAAAGCACCCCCAAATGATGACATGGGGGGAACCACTTTCTTTGGACTGGGAGCATCCTCTTGTCTTTGGACCGCCCAGCAGCAGCCCCAATGAGTTTAGACCTGGGAACATGAACGTCAACATGACATCAACTAGAATCTAGAAAATCAACTCATGAAGTCCGTCAGGAGAAAAAACACAATCTGCAGCTGTCACTGCATATAGATGTTCTTGCCTCACTTTCTTTGCTCTACTTTTGCCCTTTCTACGGCCCTTTTCCTACGACTCCGCCCGCCTTCGCGGGACAAGAACCTGGCCGCCCCGGACCTCGTTGGGCACCCGGACCTCGTCGAAGTCGACGGAGTCTTTGGACTTGCTTCGGTCGATGCGAGCCCAAAACCTGGAGGACCAAGGGTTGCGCGGCCCGACGACGACCGGCGCCAGCGAAAAGCCATGTGAAAGCGCCGAAGTTCCGCAGCCGTTTCAGAAAGTGAAAAGCAATGTGTCTCAGGGTTTGGAGAGGTGCTTATATAGTTGTCCCCTCATTTGGTGTTTTTGTGCTCGTTGGGACGTGTTTCTTCTGGTGCCGATGTTCAAGTTGGGGGACTGTCTGATCTAAGCAGCTCTTGAAAGTCTGGTTGGTCTTGAAGTCTGGATTTGCTTTCTTCCTTGTTTTGTGTTTCTTGCCTTTTGTCTTGTAGGTTTTGTGGGATAATCAAGACCTGGCATTCCCAAAGGATGGATTCAAGAAGTGACCAACTACATGTCATTTGACCGACTCAGCATGTGGAACGCAAAGTATACGCTGACCTCAGGTGGCTGGCTATCTTAATAGTCTTCAATGAGAACTGGTCGGGTTGTGTTTCACTGCCTGGATATGGTTTTGACATGTTTTGTGTTTTGACACTCCTTCCCAAACGACCAGAATTCCTCGGCGTCCCAACTCCGCTCGCGAGTCACGTGGCGTGTGGCGATGGGGAGGCCCCCGACCAGGCTGGATCCACTCCGAGGCGGTTTTTGCGGACTCTTCTCACGTGACAGGACCCCTGTGGTGGGGAAAAACGAGGTTGCAAATGCTTCACCAGGCTTTACTTCCTTCAAAATGGTCTGTTTCGATCCATCTCAGAGGTTGTGCCACTCAAGTTAAGGGCGTTACATCCACATCCGATCCTCACCGGGGTCCAAAAGGTCGCAGTCCATCTGGGTCACAGCGGCGTTAAACGTTCCGACCACCGGCGCGCGGCCTACGCCTCGTTCCACCGCGCGGGCGACTGCGCGGGCGCGCCCCCGCCTGCCCGAAATGGCTTCCCTTTTTCGCTTCTTCTGCTCCCAGTCCATCTCCTGGCGTCCCACTCCACTTTCGGGAGGGTCTGATGAGCACCCTGAAGCAAGTACGGTGTTCACCGTGGAAAACAACGAAGCTGAGTGTCTATATATGAGACATTGGCAAGTTGTTTGGATCTTGCTTGGCGAGTAGAACGACATGGAATACACATGAATACAGTATACAGAATCCAAAGCATCTGGTGGGTGATTTTTTGAGGATCAATGTTAGTACGCTATATGAACTCTTCCATGTCGTGACGAACAGTTCTTCGATTCTACGGATGTTGGATTTTATGGACTGTGACTGTTGCCTGTCCGCAGCATGAAAAGACACCAGGACACTGCGATGGCATTTCCCTGCATGACTGAGATGGGTGTCCCTGTGTTTGAGCTCTCCTTTCTCATCCGAAACCGATACTTTGAATGGCCCAGTTCCGCCCGTGTGGCAAAAAAAAACGGCTCACGCCCGCGTGAAGAACAGGAGCCGTTTCGTTCAGAACGGGGTCCAGCGCGGGGACGACCGTGCCGGGCGGCGCTCCTCTTGTACCACCTGGAGGCCAATTCGTCTCGACTCTTGGAAGTCTAAACTGAACAAAACTCAGCAGCCGACAGCCGAGGATGAAATGAAGTAAAAAACACATGCCCACTTTGGTCTGAAGTGTGTTATTTTGCGGATGTCGCATTGTTGAAGTTGCTTTTCACCCTGAGATACCCTGAGTTGAGTTCTGATGGTCGGGCGGAGGGCCTGCCAAAAAGGGGCGATCGAATCACAACTCGTCGATTGATTTTGACGGCTGCCTCCCGAGTGTCAATGCCAACTAATGGCTCTGGATCTTTTTCCTACTAGTAGTTTTTAAACTTTGCCAAGGGCGACGGTTTCCTGACAAACCACTCAGGGGATGCTGGCGTCTATTTTAAAGCACCCTTCAATCAATTTCGCTCAGGTTGCAAGTTAGAGCCTGGTGTGAGTGAGTGTCGGTCAATACTGATCCCGCACAAAAGTCTGGCATAAACACACCCCGGCACATCAATCTTGTGGAAGTAGACTAGCAATACTGCAAAGGCTTCAAACCCTGAAATAGAGAACCCTCACTCAAACGAACCACATGGCAGTCAAACGAACCCCATTTGCATCAATGGAACCTCAGTGTGTGCATCTCATGCGCCAACATGAGAGCACTGAAGGTGTCCCACCGAAGGTGGTTCCACGTGTGGCCAAACGTGCTGCCGGTGGTATGCGGGTGTGTTCAACAAAGGACTCCTGCACCACCTGTAAATAGCTTGTAAGTCGTGGGAGATCATCCATCTCAGATGCATGCAGCATTGGGTGTGTGCGTTTCGCGTGCGTTTCGCTCGCTGGCCTTGTCTTGCTCCTTGTGGCGCTTCGCGGACCGCCGTGAAGGCTTGTCCCAGGCGCGATTGGTCTTCAGCATCTTATTGATCTCCCTGAGTCCCGCACCGGGGACCGAAGCACCGAGCCGACAGGGTCGACGAAGGGACCAACTGTGGACAGCGTGGATAGCGCTGTTATGCACTGTCGCTTCACACGGAGCTATATAATATATATATACCTGGACCCTCCGGCTGTGTAGAATTTCAGCCCCTGGACCTAAAGCAAAGAATTTCTGACCCTCACCTTGACTTCCGCCCCTAAGAAAAAGTTCTGCCCCTAGCAGTTTTTGAGGGTTTGAAGATTCATCGATGTCACCCAAGATCCAGCCCAGTCCCGCCTGCACTGTTCAAGCTGGGTCATGCATCAACATTGCAAATGAATCAATGATATAGACCAAAGACAATTGTTGGTGCATGATTGGACATAAGAAGTTCTTGATCCAGGATGTGTATATGTGTTTCATAACATTTAGCATCTAGCGGAGCCAACATGGAGAAGTGTGAGGCCGGCTCCTGAGGGATTGGGTGGTAAGGTGTCCACTCGGCCGATAGTGCAATCTTTTTCACACTCGGAACTACACGACGTCAATGGTGCCTGGAGTCCTTGAACCGCTTGATGACAAAACAAGCTTTGACTTTGTACGCCAACAATGTGTTTTGAACATGGTTGCGGTATGAGATACGTCTCGACTGCCTGCTCACACGGCCCACAAAGTCCTCTGACATAGAGCAGTCGAAGATTGCTGGGTTTAGGCTGTATTCGTTGTCAAAGGATTTGTCCAAGTCATGTGCAAAGTGATCCAGCGAATGCAGTTTCGGCACCATGCTGAACAGAGTCATCCTTCTGTTCAAGGCTAGCTGAGCCAGGTGAGCATACACAGCAAGAAAACGCTTGGTGCTACTGCGCACCGTCATCTTGCACCCCCGTTTCAGCCAAATACCATGACCATGAATTTTCTGTAGCCGTAGCCCAGCATCACAGCCATCACAAATCAACCTAAGAACAGCTGAACCAGGATTTGACTGTAGTTGAAGGCCAGTGAACCACTTCAGCCACCGTAAAAGCAAGATGCTGTCCGCCCCCTTGCAACCCACATAGGGGAAACTTGTTTGGGTTTGCATGTGCAGCTTCTGTCTCGAGAATGAACGAATTCCTGAAGGTGTAGCACTATGAGCATCACACCAAAGAACAAAATGCGACCACGCTCGAACAAGCCTCGCATCTAGCCCAATGCCATCGCCAGGCGCATCAAAGAAGCTATCAAAAGCTAGCAAAACAATGGCCGATCCAATAAAGTTTCTAGCAACGCCAAGCCTGAAGATATGGAATATGTCATGCCTAAACCACAAGGCAGCTCGGCCAGTGTTCCACGGCTCAAAGGATAAATGAGAAAATGGTGGCTGCCGCGTCCGCGTCCATGGTGGATCACGCAAACATGTATTCTTCCATTGGGCCTGGTCGCCAAAGTCCTCGAAAGGAAACAGCGGGCCACCAGCAAGGCACTGATGACAACAAGGGAGGTCGTTCCTGGTGCCAACGTTTTGGTATGATCTAGTCAACATTCCTGATTTTGCAGCATATTCCAAGTCTGCCTTAAAGCCCAAAAGAGCAAACCAATATCTGTTTCCTCCGTGATCAAGTCCTCTCAAGCACACCTGTTCCAGGTCTTCGGACATTTGCCCCAAGATGGACATGAGCAGGCCTGGGAACTTCCGATACTCCTTGCTAGGAAACGCGGACACCAGGAAATGCGTGAGGTACGAATGGTGCTTGTGGTTGAGTCTTTGGACCATGGGATCATTGAAATCAAGCCCACCATAGGTAGCTGGCTGGCAGCATGTGCACGGCTTTGGTGGTGACATGGTATCAAGCCCCAAAGCTGCCTGGATGCTGATACATTCCAGCGGCTGCTTTTTTAAGGTTCGCCCACCATCGCCATGAATCAAAAGGGGAATCACATATTCCAGGCTGACTTCATTGCGTGTAGCTCGCTTGTACACATCGTGGGAGGGATGTTCCAAACGATATTGCCTCCAGAAAGCTCCCAATAATCGATTCGCTTCTGGACCTGGGTCAAGTCCACCAAGTAACAAGTAGGGAAAGTCCCTGAGAAGGTGTGACAGAATGTCGCTTGGCTTGAGATAGGGAAGGTGAGTGGTGGCTCCATTCTCATCGAAGCGATGGTAAGATGTAGGGACTTTCCTTGATTGGACAATGGGCATGGTCTTTACAAGTCTATATATAGACAGTTCCTTGTCAACCAAAAATATGCTGTAGAACAAATCCATTGACAGGGAACAAAGCAAATATACAGTACACATCAATTGCTTGACGAAAGTCAATTAATTAAACTAAGGTTCATTGCAAACTTGAACCGTTTCACTGCCCTCTGGTATTGTCTGGATGCATTTTTTTCTGAACGGCCCAGCATGGTCACCGTCGAAGCATGAAGGGCCATGTGTGGGTCACATCTGAGCTCAGCTTGCAGGGCAACCCCATGGGCTTGGAGCGCCTTTGCAGGAGCCTTGGACATGTCAGTGGGGAAGGAAGAGTGGCAAATGTATTTGATATATTATGGGGTGCAATACATAGAGACTCAAAGACCAAAAGCAAAACGAAGAAAAGGCTACAACCACTCAGAAAAGTAACCCCATCAGCAATAGTTTCCACTACGTGGGTCAACAAAGGGCCAGGTACTGTTGATGAAGAAGCACCTGGCAGACTTGTTCTCTATGTACGCGCGTGTACATTTACATTATACACACAGCATACTCCAACTCAGAGCTTCCCTGCACCATATCGTTCATGAGAAAAAAAGGTTCCGGACTCAGCACCTTCCTTTTCAATCCCCCAGGGCCCCAGATTGGACATATTGAGTCGGATGTTCTATCACCCAACTTTGCAAGGCATTTGCCTTGACAGAGAAACCCAGCATGGAACATATTTAGAATGCGCTGGCGGCACAAACACAAAGCTGCTTTGGTTGCACCCTGGCGCATCAACATGGGCTCAGTCACTGAGATCGAGCTTTGGACTTTGGCTCCCGTTTCACGGGAGGACGGGGAGGTGGAGTTCTCGTCCGATCCTCCTCTTTCTCCAACTCCTTCTGTTCCTTCCGCAGCTTCGCCTTGACGTGACTGATGAAAGGCCTGGGTCAATTTTAGCTTCCATTGAAGTGGGGTCTGATCACTCACCAATCGGTTATGTACTAGAGATCTATATCATATACACAGTACACATTCTATACATATCCTTCAATTGGTACAGTGCGTCGTCAAATAGATATGGAACGAGTACATGCAAATTAAAGTATGTCTTCCTTTGTGGCGTTCAAAGAAGTACTGCTTCCGCCAGTGGCAATATGATGGCACAACTAGAACTGAGAGGCCGGATATTGGGATTCCAACTGTTTGTATAACCTTCACTGCAACTTCCACAGGTTGAGACTTGGGTGCCCAACTGTGCTCGCGTGTTGAGGTTCAAAGCTTCAGCACACCTTACACAATAGAAGGCTGGTCGCAGTCGAGCGGATGTGGTTGGATATTGGTTGAGTGAAAAAAAGCCTACTTGTTTTCTCAACACCATTGATATGCAATTCCAACCACGTTTTTTGTTTGAGCAATTCGGACGCACGATCTGCAAATTGGTAGACTAGCCAACTGGTTTCAGCTGGTCAGCTCTTCCACCTGTAACGTACACAAAAAAGGGTGGGCATTTGGTGGTGAGGTTCCCTTCGCCTCCAGTACCCTCTGCATTTCGGCATCCTTTGCAATGGCCAAAATCACTGACCAAAGCAGCCTCTAACATCCTAATTAAACCTAAGTCATCTCCCATGTAGATGATCCACATGAGGTGGAAGTTTACTTGCAAGTAGGATTGGAAACGTTGAGCAGGGCACGCAGTGATTCCAATCTTGAACACGGCAAGGGCTGTTCCAAGGTGCTCTCTGAAAGATGATACTTGTAGCTTGCAGTGGCTGAGAATTTTCCCACAGCTTGGCTTTGGGTACCGCTGTACTGGAGTACGGTTGATGACGTAGCATCTTTTCAGTTCTTCCCATGGACACCGTGATGAAGAAGAGCGGGAAGAAATAGAACAGAGCAGTTCCATGACTTTGTTGCGAGTGTTGTCCTGGGAACAAAGTCTACTACCATCTTAATTTGGTATTGAAGATGAAAACAAAACTATATCATCGGAAGACTGAGTCAAATTCAGTAAGTTCAGTCTTTTCCCAAGCTTCGTCCATTCCTGGAGGTATATTGCGAGCTGTGCTGGCACTGTGACACTTGGTCTTCATCTCTACCACCGGTTGCACAGATGCAGAGTAGTGAGGACGACTCCTGATTTCCCAAAAAGTCGAAGAAACTTTAGGTATTAGATTGTTATTTCATTTCTGATCGAGACACTCTAGTTGGCAGTATAGTCTGTAAAGTCTCTAGGAGCAAAGCAGCAAAGAAGAAAGACTAGCAACAGTTCAAGGTTTTCTGTAGTCTTTGCATTACACAAACTAACAATGTATCCAAATCAGACAAGTTTCTGTTTCTGTGGGGAAGCAGGCAGATGTAGGGCAGCTTGAATCGCACATCGTTTCCGTCCAGTCACGGGGCAATCATATGTCAGAAGGTCTAGGAGAAATTCATCGTCCATAATAGCAGGAGCTGTTACACGACAAACTCTTTTCCAACCAATTGGCACTCGAGATCCATATAGATAAAACCCAAATAGCTGCAGGTATAGGTCAAGGTCGTTTTCTCATAGCATGACTATGACTATACAGTACAAAGCGATTTAGTGAGCCACAACAAACAGCGGGAAAACATAATCTAAGGAAGGCGCTGCTTCTGAGCGCTTTTGTACTGCTCGGTCAGCTGTTTTTGGTGCCTCATGAAGATGCAGAAGAAGGCCGGAGCCAGGCTTTCCAAGTATTATCGAGAATGCAGCATGTTTTCCAAAACTATCATATGTTCTTTCAAGCTACTCTGGTTTGAAACCTTCAAGAATCCCTTTTGTATTCACATCCGAAATGGCATCTGTCCGGGATTGCAGGTCCTTCTCAATCTCTGAAGCACGCTGGACCAACCTGAGATTGCATAGATCGTTTGTAGCAGAATGCATTGTATATGTTATTTTATATAACATCACAAGCAGCTAGCTCATGATTGAATCACAGCTATTCTGGGAAGTAGCAATTCCAGATTGCCATTTTCGTGTTCAATCCCATTGAGGGTCTCAACCATAGTTTGCATCTTGACACTCCACTTCGACAGACATGTCAGTATCTTAGAAATGTAAGAAGATGCAAGGGCATCAGGATCATCCATCAATGGCCAAGACATAGCCTTGAGCGTTTTCTGTTGATTGTCCGTCCCGTCGGCTTCCACGACAATGGTGTGGTCTTGCAGGAAATGACAAGAATGTCAGTTACCTACACTCCCTAAAGCACGTGCTGCACACAGAGAACTTAAAGGGTTTGAAAAACCAACCAACTGAACGGTCCCTGGTGCCTGCGTCATCCAGTGGCAGGTCCATGGTAAAGGATTGGGACGAATCACGTTTACCAGTCAGCTCCTTGTAGTCCTCTTCATCCATCGATTCAGATTCTTCAAGAATTTCTCGCTTTCTTTTCCTCACTGGGATAAACACCCAAGTGGAAACTGTTGTAGATGGCAACAGCAAACATCGATGGATGTGTGTCTATAAAATATGAACAGTTTCTCACCCAAATGCTGGCGAGTATCAAAGTCCTGCCTTGCAGTTTCTTTTCTACCCAGTAGAGCTTTACGTGCTTTTCGTAGCGGTCACGCCTGACATTGTCAAGGCAAAACCAGCTCTTCAACTTCATGGCGCAGCTGTGCATCAGCAAGAGCTTCAGCCAAGAGGCCGGATGTGTCCAGTATTTTTGGCACACTCTACTTTGATGGAACTGATCCGGGGCCTTGCACACACGTGTCACGCAGAGTTCATTGGAAGTGAGGCTCAGACTGATGCAGTTCATCTATAGTCTGACAACATGCATAAAGTATTTTTTCAATACAGTACTTCCGCCTAGTTACTCTGGAAACTTCTCATCTCTCATGTCTTGCTCCGACATGAAAGCTCCGTCGACCCATAGGTTTTCTTCTTGGATACGCTGCACCTTCTTCTTGCACTTCTTGATGAAAGAGTCCTGGCTGCAGGTTGATGGAGGATAGCAAAAACACCATGGAATCGAGTCTTAAAGGGACAGTTACCGAGAACAGCTCTGTATACATATGCATGCATACATTAGTGTCGGCATACTGCTGTCCTTGTTCCGGCCACTTTGCATCCATAGCTTAATAACTGCTTCACGACCACCATTGACCATGTCTTTAAACTGCTCTGCAAAACGGGGATCAACAAGATAACTTCCATCGGCTCTTGGGCTCAGCACACGACGAAGTTTTTTCAACTCTGCCTGATTGAAGACGACATGGTTGCCATGATCCTCAACTGGTTGAAATACAAATTAAACATGATTGCTGGAGTTGAATCTTTCATAGAGTCTGTTCTTTGACGCATTCATATCGATGCAGGTAAGCTGATTGACAAGCGTCTCCCAGCTTCTTTTGATCTGGGATTTCACCAGGTGGACCACCCTCCTGGAATGAGCTGCTTTCAACATATGGATCCAACATTTACGAAGAAGAGGTCCAAAAGCCACATCAACAACCCATAAAGAGTCTAAGTCCTTGCCAGGCTCATTGTCATCACGCTGGGTAGAGGTAGTTGTTTCCTCCTGGAGGGTGTGTTTTCATAGAACAGCCATGCGAATTGAGTATCACTTGCAAGGTAATGCACTCATAGCAAATGCGCCACGCACAGAAAGTTATATAATAATGTTGGGTCTATACATATGCGTGAAAGAACCCCACACCTCTGCAAAGAGGGCCGGATCAAATTCAATGTCAGTGTCACTGACATTGTCATCAGCCGCCTGAACCCGTGCACGCACACACATAACAGTATTTAGCATGGTGTCTATTATTGGGGCATGCTCCACCAAAAGCAACCACGCTGCTCGGAACCAACAAGAAACACTAAGTAATCAGAGCCTGCTTGTCTGGTGTAGGCACTGAAGCATATATGTCCTCCAAAGATAAAGCCTAGAGCTTCCAGGGCAAAGAACAAATCATATACTCCACACTGACATCACCACTGTACTGCACACCACAGTCAAGAAACCATGTTATCATCAGGGCCCACGTCCAAATCAGTTGGGATCGTTTCCTCATCGTGTCCCAAATCAGCTGGGATCGTTTCCTCATCGGGTCCCAAGATTTGAGATCCATGGTCAAGCTCTACACTCACAGCTGCGCGAGCAGGAGTTGCCACAGGTCTAACTCCATCATGAACAGGTTCTCCTTCGGCTGGTGCCTAGTGCACAAAGTGCAAAATCAACAACAGGAAAAAGGTTTTCCTCAAGAGACAGATCGAGGCTTTATATTCAATATGTGTCCACCACCACCGGGCACCAATGTGCATGGTGTTGTGTTGTTGGCGCAGTTGAAATGACAACAAACATGAACTTCAACCCTGAGAAACAAGATTGTGTGAATGGTTTGTTTGTTGCCTAAAGGCACCACAACATGAATTCAACATAAATATTCTAGAACATTTGGAAGATGTAGAGTGTGAACCTCACCTACCATCCAACATAAAGGGAATAAGATGTTTGTATAGGGTAGCTGCTTGAGGAACATGGTACTGTCAACCTCTATCATGCCGCCACACCGGTCATGAAATTGAATGTTTGTCCTCATGAAATATTTTGTGAAAGGAATTGTAATGGAGAACCGCGTTGATTCAACAGCCTCATTTTGCTGCAAACGTTCACTTCCCAGAAAACCTCCCAAACACATGCAGAGACCTAAACTTCAAGAAAACTACCGAAAGCTTGTATAAGGCAAATCAACCTCACTCATCAACCCAAAGGAACTCTCCAATCCAACAAACCATTTTCACATCCACCCCACAGCCTCTACGTCCAGCAGCTCTTCCTGAAGATACTTGAGTTCTTCCTGAAGCTCTTGGTCCGTCTTGTCGTTTAGATCCTCCATGCCCGCTTCTTGCTTCACTAGATTTAATCCACACCGCAAAGACTCACTGGAAAATGTGTTCGACAGCAGGGAAGTAGACATGCGACTGCTGGCTGACACAATTATGATCTACGAGCACAGCCGGCTGCCACAAAAATGCTGAGCAAAATGTACAGTAATCCCATCCAAAGCCATGTTGCCTCACTTCCATGAGTAAGATTCCAAGTTGTGACACATTTTGTCAAGTACAAGTTGTGTCCCATAAGAGTGCCAAAACCCAATTTGGAGACCCTTGAAAATTGTGACCGGGAAGATCCGCCCCGGGCCCAGGAAGATCCGCCCCGGGCCCAGGAAGATCCGCCCCTAGGATTTTATGATTTCTATGATTTTGTTATGTTTGAGTAGTTATAGTCCCATTTTCATATGAAACCTGTGTTTGTATGGTGTTTTCATATGAACACTTGTGCTGTAGAATGAGAACACTAATGGTCCTTTTCATATGAAAATGTGTTTTACCAAAGGAGCAATCGATCTATATACCATATACCTGCAAAACAAATGTTTTCATATGAAAAGTGTGGTTTGTATTGTTCATATGACATCCACACCATAGTGTGTTTTCATATGAAAATCTCTGGGTCCCATATATTAACAGGTGGTGCGTAATACCCGTTGTCATATGAAATTTCATGTCACTATGCAAGAAACTAATTGGACAATAAACACAGACACCAATTGTTTTCATATGAAATTCATGACATAACAGATCCAAGTTCCTGTCATCTGCAATGCGTTTTCATATGCAAACCCTGTATGTGTCGAGCAAAGGTTTTCTACTGCAATTTGTTTGTGTGCTGACAGTTTCATATGAAACTTCGAATTGGTTCAGATATGAAATTCGATCGAATTCCTTCCTGCCTCTTCACCTGTAATGTAGTTTTAAGGCAAAGGATTTCACAAGTCTCTTACCACTTGTTCATGACACCTCACACTTCTCCAGCTTAATTCCCACAAAGCACAACACAAAAAAAAGAAAACAACAGGAACCTGAGAAGCTACACGAGTCTTCAATGACCAAGCTGATCTACAATGAACAGAGAACAATGCCACCGGAAACGGTGGTTTGACTCTGAAGCCTTCTTTTGTGAATTGCAACGGGTGCAAACCAATTGGAACAGACCCAAACCAGACATACAATATGGTGGCATCAAAGCGCAAAAGGAAAACACAGGTCGATAGTTCTCACCAGTCCCTAGAACATGTTTATAGATCTGTATAATCATATCATTTGTGAACAGCATCTTGCAGAGAAGGCTTCAGGGTGAACAGTGATGCAGTTGGCATATTGTATGCAATTCTGGAATCAATCCCAACACAAGAGAAAAAGAGGCGTATGTCACAAATAGCTGAGAACATGACATTGTTGGGGTAATCACTTCTATGGTCAAACCAACCCATATCCAACCACAGGAACAAGTCTTACAAACCATGCTGTTTCCATTAGTCAAAAAGGTTAGCAACAACACGGTTGCAACCTCACCTTGTTCATTGCTTTAGTTTGTTGACCTCTCACTCCAGGTGATATTTGAGGTGGAAGGCACAAATGCATCATGAATTGACAAGCTCACCGGCCTGTACAAACTGCTCCGCACTAAAGCAAAAGCCCGCGTAGCAACAACAAGATATATATCACTCTAGCTGCATACATCATCACGCAACACTCCTAAAGCCCTTAACGCACAACGAGAAACAATCCACTTCTCAGGCACACCTTCCACACCAGCAAGTAAAGATCACGGGCATTTCCACTAATCAATTAAAATTAGTTGGCAACACATCTCTCCAGGATGGTGGGATCTTCAAAAGTTTGGAGCCTCTTGCATATTTGACAACTTCCCAAAGATCAGCTTCTCGGTCCCAAGCCCTGCACTCATCACACCAACGCATGTTGCCAAAGAGCTCACTAGACGACTGATCAAGGACCTTGGTGTGTGGCTGCTTGATTTACTTTTACCATGAACATCCAATCCCAACTAACAGAACGCTCTAAGTCAGTTGTGGAAAAAAGTGCAGGGCACTCTGGAAGGAAGACGAGGTCTGTCACGATGAAGCTTGGGTAGCATCCGAACTAGTTTGGCGGCAAACTTGTACGTGTATTGCCTGACTGCATTCAGTCCCAAGGTCAGCCAGGTACTCACCGCTCAAAAGAAATTAGCAAAAATAACTATAATATAACATATATAACAAGTTCCTCATACTTCACAGCTCAGCTACTGACTCCGTTTCAGATTCACATTGCCTTTATACCTTTTACGGCCCTTGGAGTCTTGGTATTTTTCAGTGGTAGCAACAGACTCTGCACGCTCTTCCGCAGTCAGCGGCCCCAGGTCCAGGTCAGAAATGTGTCTGGATAGGCTCCAGACCCAAGTTCTCTTCCATGAAATTGAGTTGTATTTACGCATCCAGAAGCCAATCTTGAAGGTCTGGGCAGTAGCGCGAGGGACCCCTTTTATGGCAAATGGTGAACTGACGCTATATTTGCATGTGTATAGAACATATATAATATGCGGTAATGACTGTGGTAATGTGTTATTCTTCCCCCCAACACTTTCAGCCAGCAAACGCAATCAAGTAGCATAAATGTTGAACTCCAAAAGGAGTTCGCACATCCAAACATATCTTGGATGCAAAGCAATCAAGCTGTTCATTGGGTTTTCCATCAGCCACACTCCACCAGCAACTGTTACCAGCCACATAAGGAGGACACTCCTGAAGACAAGAAACATTGGTTTGACCAAGGTCCCTTTACTCAGAACACATTTGCATGCATACATGTTCCAAAACATCCATCACTTCATCGTTCCAGTCTCCTGGAAGTCATTTTGTTTGACTTCCTAATGCTGAGAAAGTCTTCGTTGCCCAGCGGTGTCAAAATGCTGCGCATCCCCGTGCCCCTGTTCACAGGAACCCAAGTTGAACAGACCACTGCAAAGAAGGCCGCAAAGTTTTCAAAGTCAGAGGACAGGATCAAGTGGATCCCAAGTCTTAGCTCACATTGTAGAAGGTGGCCTGGAAGGCCCTTTTTTCTGTCAAAAAAGGGGTTGCCAGGCCACCTTCTCACGTTTTGCAATACTCACAACTATATCATATACTATATCATTGAGAATACAAGTCTCGATGTGTGCTTCTATTTGTGTTGTTAAACGTAAACTCACGCCATCCCCTTCCAGATCTACTAAATGCAGTTTAGTAACATGAGACCCGCACACGAATTTAGATCCATTGGTGGTCGAGACCCAGTACGCGTGCTGGATTTCCCATACTCTATGTCAACAGCAGCACTTCGGAAGCCGCACGATTTGGCAATGGATGCAATCCTTGCGGCTCCAGCGAAAAACTCAATCACTTTGAACGGATCCTCCTGGCTCTTAGGAACATCAAGCCACCACGTCAGTAGGACCAAGAAGATGACCACCTGAAGCAGAGCACACGGTCGCACCCAAACATCAACAAGTTTGTGAGAGAAGGAAGAGTTGCAGCCTGTCATATGTCTAAGGATGACTATGGCCGCCTTTGGAGTTTTCATGATGATGAGGCGCTTCAGGAAGCGATCAAATTGGCAAGGAGTCATGGCTGCAGTACAGTAAATATGCTTCTGAATTGCTGACCATTGTTATGACATTAGTTCCTTAATTCCTCTCGTGATATTACAGTATGCATGAACAGTCGCAGACTGTATTCCAGAAATGTAGTCCGTCATTGACACTTCAGAGGCTGAGGAAGAATAAAAAATAGTGCACGCAGTGACACTGAATGATCACAAGTATGCTCAGACCTCTGTGCTGTGCTTCTAGAAGAAAACACGCCAGCAGAACTGTTCAGCTCAGGGCCCACTCCAAATTTGGCCAAGTTGAGCGACCCTCTCGGAAGCCCGAACATGTCACCACCAGGCCTGGCCGGGCACGAGGGGACCATGGGGCCAAAAAAGATTGGAAGGAAACCCCGTTGTTGTTCTTGTTATTGAAAGTCAAAGACTCTTAAACCAAACATCAAAGTCGAGAAGTGCCAGTAAACATGTGTTTGCTCTCATGCCGCACACACGAACATTGTACAAGAAGTTGCCGCTCGAATTTGCTTTGTTTCACTGCGGGCATGTGTGTCTCTGTAACACATTGCATGCCCCTCGCAGCTGAAAATACAAGTGGCTAGCATGACTTGTTGGTAATCCAACAAGGTTGAAAACGAGGCAATCCAACGATCCACTTGAGTCCCTCCCATCCACACTAAACGATGTTAAAAAAAGACTAAAGGCTTCCACAATAAAACAGTCCTTGCAGACATGTAGCACACTAGAAATTTGTTTGGACTCAATTACCCTGAGGGCTGCAAGGGTCAGTCAGGTAGGTATCCGCCATAAACAAAGTAACCTCAGTTTTGACAGCCGCCATGCACTGTTCAAGGCAAACCTTGCTGTCCACATCCTTCTTCTTGCCCTTGGGCTTGTAGCAAATGGCATCATTCTTCTCGAGAGCAGCAGCGCACCGATCCCACCACACCACCTACCACTGGGATGTTGTTTCATCATATTGTCAGTTCAATATATATGTTTCAAAAGCCCACACTAAGACCTACACAAGGTACCATTGAATACGAACTTGTATATTATATAACTCTTATGTTTACTGTTGGGCCCGATTGCCTCCCAAGGAGAAGTGTTGTAGCCAAACCAGATCAGCACAGGCTTGACAGTCTCCTCAAAAACATCCCGAACAGCAATCCACCGTTCCCGTGCTGGTGAGCTCTTGGGGCATGTCCTCCGCGCAAAGCTCTTCAAACGAGCAGGAGATGTCTCCTCAGTCTTTGGTGCCCCCATCTTGTCACCACCACCCTCATTGGCTCGACCGAGGCCCCCGTTCTCCAACAATTTCTCCTCCAGGGGAACTTGGCAAGGATTCATGTTTGCTTCAAACGCTATCTTGCCTTCCCGAGAAACAGGTGTCCAAACAATTTGTGGGTCTCCACTGGCCTCCTCCTTCGGGTCGGATACCTCCGGCTCTGGCTGAATGGCCTTGCACTTGGCCTTGGCCTTGGCCTTGCACGGCCGCCCTCGCTTGGGCTTCTTATCAGGCTCCTCCTCCGCTTCATCCGCATCTTCGGAACAAAGGTCAACCACCTCAGATGACTTTGTCCCATGCTTGCGCTTCACACCACTGGGCGCGGCCTTGGGCTCAGCCTTCGCCTTTGCCTTGCTCTTAGCTTTTGCTTTTGGCTTCCTGGGTGGCTTCAACTCGAACTGTTCCCTCCTTGAAACAACTGGCGGATCAGGTCCTTCAGGTGGAGTTGGCTCAGTAGGTCCTTCAGGTGGAGAAGGAAGAGCCTCTTCCGCAATTGGCTCAGTAGGTCCTTGAGCTGGAGAAGGAAGAGCCTCTCCTGCAATTGGCTCAGTAGGTCCTTGAGGTGGAGAAGGAAGAGCCTCTCCTGCCATTGGCTCAGCAGGTCCTTCAGGTGAAGGAAGAGCCTCTCCTGCAATTGGCTCAGTAGGTCCTTCAGGTGGAGAAGGAAGAGCCTCTGCTGCCATTGGCTCAGTAGGTCCTTCAGCTTCAGAAGGAAGAGCCTCTTCTGCAATTGGCTCAGTAGGTCCTTCAGGTGGCTCAATAGGTTCCTCAGGTGGAGAAGGAAGATCCTGTGGTTCCTTTGGAGAACGCTGACCACCGACGGCCTCCATCTTCACATCCTGGTCACTCTCACGAGCACCAGTCTCATCACAATCCTTCTTTTCAACACTGGTGTTCTTCTCCTCCTCATCGCCTTTTTCTGCTCCGGCAGAGGGGGCTGGACCGACCTCTTTCTTGCAAGCCTGCTGGTGCTTGACACTCGCCTCAGTTGGCTTCATCTCCCAATGACCAGCGATGAGATTACACTCGTACCGAAGAGGGTCAGCTGGAGCTTGAATTCCAACTGTCACGCCCATTTTCCCATCCTCACACATGCCTGCCACGACCTCATCCGTCTCCAACATGTAGGCATCGTGGACAGGTGGCTCAGGCGTGTCAACCTCCATGTCAGCAGGCTCTTGCTCCTTCACCTCCTGGTCTTCGGACAAAGATGCTGTCACACCACCATCCAGGCATGCTGGAGCTTCGCCACCATCACCTGCCAATGGCATTGAACAAACATTGTTTTTAGCCCTTTTGTGGTGAATTTCAAGAGGTTAATTGGCAAAACGCACACACAAAAAAGACACACAGACATTTAAATACAGTATTTAAGATCTTGCCAGGTCACCTTGCTCGAAATCAATCAAGAGGGATCGCTTCAAAGCAGTGCACCCATATTCCGCAGGCCCAGTCTCATGCTGGGTCTCATCTTCAATCTCAACAAATTCCATGGATTTTGCAACTGCTTCAGAGACAATTGGCTCCAGTGGCTGGGTCTCAGCATAATCAGAAACAGCTTTGGAGGCAGCACGTTTTGCAAGTAGCAACCTGGGCTGCAATGCCAGGACTGACTTTTAAACCAAATGAACTCCAAAGATTCTAGGACCAGACCTGTTGGAAACCAGAAAACATAAGGGATATAGATGTGCAATCAAAATACTGCAAGTTCCGAATTCTCGCTTCAATCTTGCTAATGTCCTCAAAGCCCTTCTTAGCCTTGACCACATGGCCTTGAACAGGTTGACTTTCACCATCAGCTGCATGATGTCCAGATTCCTGCTTGGCCTTGACATCCTCTTCCACACAGGGCTCAGCCTTGACCGCCTGCAAAGGGGCACAAAAGGAAAAGTTCAGAAGACCTCGAATTAAGATCTATTCATTGTTGCTATGCTAGACCCCCTCCAAAATATGAACAAGCATGTTTTATCATGTTTCGATGTTCCAATGTTTTCCAAACCTGCCTGAACCTTCATCACCGGTGTCTCACATGCAAATCCTTTGCAAGGCGAACATCCCTGATATGGGTCTTCCTTTACCACAACCATGAAGTCAGTGAAGTCGCTGCTCTCGTCATCAGAGTCCAAGATGCACTCCACAACTTGGCCAGGGCGTAGGCGCACATTCCAGAACTTGAAAAGCTCTTCATAGAAGCTACTGACACCCTGTTCCTGGCCAGAACTCTAACAGCAGTCTTGGGGGACAATGAAAATAAGAATGTCAGCAGTCCAACATGGGAGGGTTGGAGAGCAAGCAAAAGACAAAACATGTATAGCCAAAAATACTATAAATATAGCCGAATCTCTCTCCGGATAGGGCTCTTGATCAAGTCCTTGTCCGCCCCGCTCTTCCTGACTCCGTAGCTAAAGAACTTCTTCAACCCCCAAGCGTCATGCTGTAGATCAACAAGGTTCATTGGCAGCTGCACCATGGTTCTAAGATTGGCGACCTGTCATGTCAAGATAGGTGGATGGTGCACGCATATTTGTTTTGTAAACACATAACCTTTTTTATTGCTTTCAACATCAGAGGATGTAAGCGGTTTGGTGTTGTTTGTGTTGTACATATTTTGACTGACAAGGGCCTCCTTCCGCAGTTCTTGAACAGTAGGAGATTTGGCCTTCTTCTGCGTTGGGCACCACCAAGAGGCTAGGATCGTGAGAGCATGCACGTTCAAGGCGATTCCAGCCATAGTAGGCTTCCCGGTCAACTCTGGCTTGGGCCATTGAACTAGCCGCCCAGATTCACGAAGTCGATTTCTGACATAACGGTTATCTTCCCACATCTCAGCTAGGCTTTTCGCACCCTCCTTCTCCACATCCACCGGTGGTTCCGCCTTTGGCTGATCGCCAGGCATGGCTGGCAAGTGAGATGAACGCGGGTCTGAGATCCTTCGTAAAAAGTTTCTGCAGGAGATACACTGAATCGAAGCTAGAAGAGGTGCACTGGCTTGCTGGAAAGACTACTTCAATTAATCGTGGCAGGCGCACCATATGATTCCAGCATTGATGCACTCACCGCCATGCACCTACAGAGCTGTTTTGTCACCAAGAGAAGAGCTATGCAGTTTTCTGGCTAGCCGCTAAAGCTTACTGACCTGTTTGATTTGCAACCGGCCATTTGCGCAACAAAGCAGCACGAAACTTACCGCTCTTTTTGTGTAAGGCATCTTCAACTGACTTTAAATTCCAGCTCTCAATCATGTCTCTTCCACTATGTCTTCTGTGGCCCGGGCCAGAAGCTCTGTGAGCCGAAGCTCTTTTCATATCCATGGTCCATGGGTGAAAGAAATACAAGTAAGACTTTGTAAATGCTGTTTCGAAGCAGTCATGCATAATGAACTTGAGTCAATTACAACTTTATTAAGTTGATTGATGAACCATGGATTCTACTAGCACACATGCCGCATGCCACTGACTTCTAATCCTTAGTTGAGCGAGCTCCTGTGCTGCAAAATCGGCTGATCCACGGGAGGCACTGGATTGGGAGTGGATTTGGCGGCAATAATGATCAGATTTCTTCAAATGATAGATATTCCAAAATCAGCCCCTGAGCAAAAATTCTGGACCTTAGATGCCAGAGGCACTTCTATGCCTCAGAGGCAACTTAAATGCAGGTGGTGGAAGACCTAGGTATATATAGGGTGCAAGCCAAGCACATGTGTCAGCAATCCAGCATGGTCCAAAAAAAGATCTCAAATGGACTCATCCCGAAATTCTAGAAATATGAAAGTAAAGGGGACACGCATGAATTTCTGCCTGCAAAGCTAGATGGACTCAAAAACCATGTTCCTCCACATAGATGTCACACAAATCTGCAGAACACCTTGAGAAATCCATGACCATCTTGATTCTCACTCCAACCCCACGCTCCACTTTGCCCCGAGCAAGCCGGCCGAGCAGCGTCAAGCGCCGGCCAGGCCCGGCGGAGGGCCGTTTGGGCTTCTCCTCCTGCGGTGCGGAGAATGGGCGTGGCGCGGAGCCATGGTCCCCCCCACCTCAGGTGTTGAAGGTTAAGGGATGTTGAAGGAAGTGATGCTTTTGGCTGATGGATGTTGAGTTGTTAATTTTTGTGGGGGGGACTCCGAAAAACACACACAGGTTTTTCAAGCATCTTGCGATGCAACCTGCATCTCAAAAAACCACACCATACAAACGACCTCCAATCACAAAATGCATCAGGTCTGAAGACCCCTGCCAACCCATCCATCCAAATTCCCACTCGACCCTGGCGCCCCCCACACACCCCTCTTCAACCCTCTTCCGCACTCCTCCAGCGCACCACGGTCGGGCGAATCTTCAGAACTTTGCCCCATGGAGCCCGCGCTGAAGGGCCGCAGCTCCCACATGGCTGGAGACGACTCCAAGCAAGCCGGGAGATTGGTGGGAAGGAAATGGGCAGTGACCGTCACAGGTGTTCCCTCTTTTTGGACGTTGAGGGGTGGAAGCAAAGGTTCACCATGGCTCACCGGTGGTTGCCGCTTGCAGCAGGTGTTGTGAAGAAATGTGAGAAGTTGAGTCTTTCTGAGTCCTCTCTGCTTCGTCGGAGGCCGGTGCAGATGGCTCGCTTCATCGTTGGATGGTTGGATGGACCAGCTGACTCATTTGGTTGAGGCCGCAGCCCAACAGCTTGCGTCTCTGTGAAGCTTGACCGGGCTCCTGGGGAGGTTTACGAACTCTTCATAATACCATTATTGTGCTCTTAATCAAGCCAATTCATGTTGTAAGTCTATACTTTGATTGCAGTTCCTCGGGGTTCCTCTCACTCCTGCTGTGAACACACCTGGAACGTTCTTTTGTTAGACACACCTTGGAGCCATTTTCAGCAGGTGCGGCAGAACCATGGCGGCCTCTCACGTCGTTGTGAACCCAAGCATATAGCTGGAGAGTCCTGGAGGACAGCCGCTAGCTTTCTCGCGGAACTTAAGAACCCCAGACTTGATGCCTCAGAAACCCAGGGGCACAGTTCCGCAACAATGACATCTGACTTGCCTTGGTGGAGTCTTTGTGGAGCCTTCTTATCCAGTACTTGTCTTCTTGATGAGGCTCAGCCTGGCCCTCATCTTCCCAAGGTGCAGCGATCGCAGCGATTCTGAGCCCCAACCGGAAAGCACAGGGGAAAGAACAATGAAACCCTGAAGTTTGGTCGGTCTTACCCTTGGCCCAAAACATGCAAACCGCACATCCGCGAAGCCAGATTCCAATATGTCAAACATGTCCAAACAGATTCATATACTGTATTGAAACCCTCGCTTTTCATGTGCTCAGATTCACCTCAAACGGAACCTCAAATATGCCAAGTGAACTACAGTCTGGTTTCCAGAAACTTGTGAAAACACACATCCTCACCTTGCTGGACTACCCCACGGTGTGTGGAGCTCCCTTGCTAGTAGAGAAAGAGATAGCGTAGGCTAGTCGGCCAGGGAACAAACAAGATGCTCCCCGCCACACTTGGCGAACTGGCCACGTTGGCCCCCGGACCGTTTGCTGCAAATAGACTGGGTGAGGAGCTGGGATAGCTTCGCACCTGCTCAAAAGATCTTAATCTCATGCGTTGTTACGTTGTTGAGCGCAAAAGCAAGCGCACTTTTTTGCGGTCATGTTTGTGGCGCGGTGTATGGTTCAAGCTGTTTTTGGAACTGCTGTTTTGGGATGCAAAGGGCCAGATTCTAAAGCCCGGAGAGCTCATGAAATTCCAAGTGCCTTCTGACACTGCTACGTAAGGTTCGGCCTTCAGATGCCTTCAGAAGGGTTGGGGGTCATTATGGGTCATTGCACATACAAAACCCGGCAGTTCTGGTTTTTCCAATGGCAAGCACAAGCCAGTGTGAGAGAAAGAGAGGGAGTCAAACAGCAGGCATACCAAAAGGCAAAAACACATAAAAACACTAATATTGTATGATCAAGTATCTGCAAGTAGGTGGGAAAGCATTTAAACCTCCATCACACAAATCATTGGGGGTGTTTTTTGGTAATTCACACAAGTGAACCTGGCCGGAAAGAAAAAAACAACGGCAAGTTTGTTGCTGCCATGAGTTCAAGAGTACAAGAGTTTCATTCTCTGCAGGTTGCATATACTTGGCTGATGACCTTCCATAAGCCTCTACCAAACTCTACCAACATAACGAACATAACATAACACAATTAATGTACCCATCTTTGGGGATGGTACCAAACTCCTCAGAACAGCAGCGAAAGGGTCTCACCTTGCACCTCATCACCTTGATCATCCTTGACTTTCTCTTGAACACAAAAGGGGGGGCTCACAGGCTCGTTGCATCCCCCTCTTCAGGGATCTCTGCCCCAGGTCTCGGTCTTTCTTCTCCGGGGCACCACGTCGTTGACGGTGGACTCGGGACAGCGTTGCAAGGCCAAGAAGATGAAGAGCTCACCGTTGACCTCCGACGAACACGGCGACGTCTGAACCAGTGGTCGGAGCAGTCGGCTAGTCATCTCTGCATTGAGTCATGGCTCATATCGTTATGTATTCTGCGTAGAAACTCATGGATTTGCATGTATTTTGCTATAGAGCTAGGGGCAAATGCAATCCAAAACATCATGAACGCCTCCTGTCCATCCTTAAACAAACTTGGACAGGTGAACACCTCTTACTGCAGGCAAACCTAATTCTATATCCATGCATGGAAGTAGCTAAACATGCTGGCCTGGAGCTACATCACCTTGTGCTCTCCTTCCTGTTTTGGGGCTAGGACCCTCTGTCCCACCGGCTGGCTAGACCATCCAACTCAAATTCCAAGTCTAATTTTGTAGGACCTTGCAGCGTTTGGGGGGAAACACCTCTCTGTTTTTGGAGTGCACCCCTTTTCCACACCCTCCTCAAAAAGACGTAGAAACCTCGATGAGTTGTGCCCAGCGACATCTCGACAATCCAGATTCTCGCCGATCCCAGCCTAAGGAGGAGGCAGAAACTGGGCCACTTGGACCGTCATGGGGCTCGGAGTGTCCGCTGCAGCTCTCGTTGGTCTCTCCACGTCCAGCGGAAGCTATACGGAAAGGATTGTCCCAAGGTGGAGTTGACAGCCAGGTCAATGATTGTAGGACCCTGTAGAGCCACAACAAGCAAAGGTTACCCTCAAAGGCTGTCAAGGCTGGCGGAGGCTTCAAGTTGTTTTGAGTCACTGGTTCGTGTACTGAAAGCAATTGAAAAGGGTAGTTTAACCTTTTGGCATCGAACAAGCAACCCGGTTCCTGGGTGGTGCTGGACCAAAGCATCGGGAGGTTCGACCAACCATGGTGTCTCTGGGGACCCGATGGTCCGTCGAAAAGCATCCATTGCCGTCCGAGAACATAGCTGCATACCACGGGGTGAGCAAAAGGATCCTGGAATGGTGCAAACATATTCGACACTAGTACAGGACTGGTGGCACCCAACCTCTTTTTGCGGAACCATATCATATATACAAATCTACAAGGTACCCATATACTATATAATACCCCATTTGGAAGGTACCCATATACCCTTGTAAGGTACCCATACTGAGGACAGTCCCTCCCTTCCAAATCCGGCATCCCCCGTGCCGCACCCATCCACTGTGCCGCTTGGGGCTGCGGCATGGCGGGTGATCTCGGAGAATTGGTCCTCAGCCGCCCCGAGCCGGTGCGCTCGCTGGTCTTCTCGCTGGCGCAGTCTGTCCGTGAGGTGCCCATGTAAACACCAGCGAAGGGCTGGTACACGGATCCCAAAGATAGCAAGCTTAAGCAAATATCCGCAGAATTTCTCAAGCTTCAAGTGGTGCTATACATTATATATATATATATGCTACCCCCGCCCAAAACCAACGTTTTCAGACAAATTTCTTGCTTGTATGTGAGAGTTGTCTTTTTCTTTTCTGTAGGTGGTCCATCCCGTCCACCCTCGATCCCCAAAAATAAATAAGTTATTCATTTATGTTTGGCCGCCAGGAAGTACAAATTAATTTCAAATAACTCTTGACCACC